GCCGGCCCTAGGCAAAAGGTTTAAATCAAACTTTGAAAATATATTTCTTTTATCAAAACTTTAGAAAATTAAAGTCATGTGAACTTGAAAAGTATACTTATTTATTTAATGAGCATGCATTAATTATAAGCCAATTTGGTACCATGCTGACAATACAAACACACATACAGACATGATCATATGAACATGTAGACATAACATACATTTATGTACATATACATGCAGACGTAAACAGAAACAATAAGGATTTTATAGGTTTTATTTAAAATATAATAAGGAGACAGATAAAATAGAAAACTCACTAGTAGGAAAGGATAGTCATTTTTAAATTGTGTTTCTTAAAAATGTTAAAGCTTATCTGTGAGGTCTCACCCTGTTTTAGAGAAAGGAAGGTAAAAAAACAAACAAAAAAAAAACAGGTAGTTTTTAATCTAGTTTTTGTTTCTCAAATGGGTTACTGAGCTTAAGGGCTGAGCTATTAAACAGAGATGAAGCCATTTGACTTTTGAGGTTTCCAGAGAAAGGCAGCAGACCCAAAAGGAGGTCTGATTGGTGCCAGAGCTGTGTTTCTCATAAAGCCTCATAGTCTTTGGTGAAAAAGAGAAGCACATGCAGTTAAGAAAAGAAAACATGCTCAAACAAAACTAACTTTGTAAAGAAATATTAACTTCTTTTACTTTAGTTTGTCCAATTAAAAGTTTTTTCAGTTACTGGCAAAGATTAAGTTTTATCCTTTTTTTGGTGACATAAACATGTCTTTCTTTTTTGTTAAGGTCTTGAATAGGTCTCAAAGTGACTTGAATTAGATTCCAAGTTGTTAGATGAGATGTCTTGATGAGACCCATTGTATAAATTAATCAGTGATCAATTTGTACCCCAATTTTTATGTCAAAGCTCCTTTCCTTGGGGTACCAAGGATATTGTTGTTTAATAACCACTAATGGTTTTACAAGCTGCCATTCAGTTACTTTACAGCTGGCTGCTTTAAAGAGACATTGGAGTTGTAATTTACGTCAACTCTCCCTCTTTGTTAAAGAATTTTCCATATTTTATAAGTAAAAAAAAAGAGAAAAAAAACCTTCAGGTTGAAAGCTAGCTTGGACTGCTGCAGGCGTGCAGTCACTAATTGAAAGCCACCTGTGGTTTCCTTACTGGGATGAGTAAATGCAAATGTTGGACGTCCTTCACTTTTCAAGGCTTGGCAGGTCAGTCTCTGATCTGTGGAGTCAGAATGCCTCACATGGGGCACCATTTGTCACCTCTCCCAAGGTGACAGAGATGCAGAGGATTACTCAAAGCCCATTTCTTCTGAGCAGTGAGAAGCCCTGAAGGGGATAATTTCCAGGAACCCTCAAGAGAGCAGCATTCCTTGGAAAATAACACCAAACTAGGGTCTTCTTTCAGTATTTATTCTCCAGGCCAGAAAGTTACAGAAAAGGAACAGAGGTGGTTACAAAAGAACCGTAAGATAATTGTCATGGCAACAATCATTAGGTTTGGCTGCACCAAGGACATCTGCCCTTACAGTCAGCAATTTTGCTGTGTTACAATTCTTTATCTACAGCAGAGACTTTAGCCCAGGGAAAGTTTCCTCTCTTTCACAAGCTTAACATTTCTATTTGCAATTTTAAGACAGTTAGGCTATACCTGAAACTACAGGGCCTTGGATGCTAGGCCCTGTGAAATACATTTGCTTTATTAATGTTAGCATACTCCACACTATTGTCCCCTCCAGTACCAGACACTCCACAGGGCAGGGATGAGGATAAGATGATTTTCTCAGATTATAAAGAGGAAGGAGGAAGTTGTCCCCCTCCCCTCCTGAAAGAGTCTTCATGGAAACATAATGAGCCTTAGTCCTAGCTCCAACCCTTTGGTATGTAAATAAAATCGCTCCAAGATCTACGTAATACCCTGTCTGCACTGGTATGACCTATGCTGGTCTCTAAGTTCTATGGCTTCATCTCTTTTGACATGTAAATACCTAGGGACCAAATACAGGATATAACCCTTGCGCCCTCATGGGGGAGATTGGAGACCTTTTAGTATCCTTTAGAATCCACGTCTTTAGTTCTACAAATGGCTACTGATTTAATTCTTATGATATGAGAAGTGGAAAGGACTTTTCACAAGAACACCAAGAAATCCAAGGAAATTTTATTTCCTACAGCCTAAAGTATATGTCTGGGCTCAAAGTTAAGAAATCAGTGCTGCCATTTATGGAGCTTGCAGAATGGTTTGCATTTGTTTATTGTTGTAAATTTTAAATATTGCTTTTCCATTTTATCTAATTCATTCTGAGCAAATAAATCATTAAAAATTATAGGAGGCCTTTGTATTAGACTAAACTCCTACACTAGGTCCCAATAGACCAGAATAAAAATCAACATGGAGTCACCCCTGCTCACCAAACCAAAATCAAGTTGCAGGAGAGAAAGATAACAGCTTAATTTCACAAACAGGCCAGTTTCAATTTTCACTAGGCATGACAGTGAAGTTCACTCTGTTTTAATCCTTACACAAAGAGTAACTTGAAGTAATCAGATGTTAACCAATCAGTCATCTTCCTATTGTTTTGCCAACTGTCCTGCCTTACAAGGAAGGTAACTTTGAAATGACCAATTTACTTTTTCTGCTTTGTTTCTTTTTTGAGCCCCCCCCCCCTTTTTTTTTGTCTGTAAAACTGACCTCTTGTGCTCAACTTATTGGAGCACTGATTCTATTGTATGGAATGAAATGTTGCCCGATTCTAGAACTGCAGTAAAGCCAATTGAGATCTTTAAAACAAATTTGTTGTAATTTTGTATTTTTACACATTGGAGTTATGAAGAGACTGCAATATTTACTTTTCAGGGAGGAAATAGGGACCCAGCTGCTTAGGGCAAGCCTGCACAGGCATCCAGGTGTCAGGCCACCAACCAGGCCTCTTCCCCTGCTAAAGGCTATAAATTAGGGCTCAGGAGCCCAGGAACGGGTCCTGAATCAGAGACAAACACACCCCCTACCTGGTCTTCCCCTCCCCAAGTGTGCACAAGCTTTCCTCCTTTCCAGGTTTGTAAGGTGTTCTTTTCCAGATGACTCAGATCTTTTCCTACCATGAAATGTCAGCCCTTGTTTGTTTCTGTTGTGGAAGCCTAATGTGCTTCCGTCATCCTGGGCAATTTAAATTAAAATTTATAAGGCTTAGAAAACATTTAAATCATTACCACACCCATGAAGCATTGGAACAGCATGAAATTTAGTATTTGTTCTCTCTTCATAAGGGTTAGAAAATGAAACTTTTCTCAATTAGACCTTTATACAAGTGAAAGGTGAAGAACTAATACTCAGCCAAACACTTGTTTGCTTTTTTTTTCATCAAACAGATTTTTTGTTCTAAGGAAGAATCCACTTACTACAACGTAGCTCCCAGCTTCTCTAAAAGGAACAAGAATGCAGAATTGTTTGAAAAACCATTTAACGAAATAATTTAAATGACAACTCTTTTAAAAATACCTATTAACATTTGAAAAATTTTAAAGAGCTAGAATTGAATACCAGGTTGGTTATAGTAAAACAAAATGAACATTTTATGTAAAACAGGAATTTTTAAATTGGAGGCCAGTCTTTGAGAAAGCATCAACTATGCCTTCTTGAACAAGAAACAAGTACCAGCTAGTGGCAGCCTTTAAGTAGGCACGAGCTACAGTCTTTTATAAATTCCTGGCACCGTGGATACTCAAGAAGAATAAGAGGATGAGAAGTATACAACAAACCTAAGCATAAAAAGTTTTTGTAAAAGCTTTATTTTCATGTTTTTTCTCAAATAAAAATACATCAATAAATAAACTTATCTATTCTAAGACACAGAAAAACATTGCATAATTAGTACTACAAAAGGCATTATGCTTTACAAGGAAGACATAAAATGTCCAAGGGATAATTAAAACATTGAACATCAGAAATGTTGACCACATACTGTAAAACCGTTTCAGTGAATAGCAACTGACATTCTTCTTAACAGTTACAAAAATAGATATGCACACACATTCCCCTACCTTAATGGTGATCTATCTACCTGGGCCCCCACTATGTATCCTCAGCCTCTGTCATAGTGTCTGGCTTGGTGGAGTTCCCCCCCTCAACAAAAATATTAGTTTAATGAATGAAAAACACTTAAAACCCATCATCTCTAAGTTAGAAAATAGTCAAGACTGAACTAATTTTGATTTAACATAAAAATGACCTTATATAGTAACGAAGTGAATTACCAAACACATCCATATGTCCATATCTTTAAATATCAGAAAGAATATAAACAAGCTTTGAAAAATAAATAAATAAATACATATGTAAATAAATAAATAGAAGGACTCTCATAAGAAGCAGTCGAACACAATAAACCCATTCCATGTGTCCCCAGGAACCATCTGTTTCTCTTCCACTTTGATTCTTCTAAGACAGAACCTCCTTCAGGAAAAGTAACCTGGAAACCTCCTCCTTCTCTCTAGGTCACTTGGTGTCGCCCCTGTGATGAAAAAACGGTTGCTGTTAGCAGGTACTCAGGAAACTGACTGCACAGCCCTCTTCTCCTGCCTTAGATTTCTGATGTTCTAGGGTTTTCCAAATGTGGTCGTTCTCTTAGCCCTACACCAACTGGACCACTGCTGTACTGTGTAGCAAAACAAAATACCAGGCTCCTGGACGCTGTTTAATTAGAAATTTTGGACCTGCGGTCACAACTGTGTTATTTGCTCCAAACAGCCGAAGCGATATCACACTGGAGGAAAACTGTACATGCATGACTTGACTTAAATTCATAGTAAACCTCATGAAGTAGCTACTATTATTTTCCCATTTATTGAGACTCGGGATAATAAGAGCTGGAACCTATAGGGGCTTGAACTCAGGGATTCACTGCAAAGTTCCTGCTCTTCATGAGGAAGGCTTAGAGACCCAGGGGGCCTCAAACCAGGGTGCTACTTTTTAGGTTTGAAGCCCCTGAGGGACTGAAGTAAAAGTTACTCCTTAATTGATAGAAGCATTCTAGCATCATTAGCCAAATCTACTTCATTTTTCAGGAACACACATTTACCCTCATTCATTCGAACAGGTGTTTGGCGTGGAGTGGAGGACACTGGAAACATCCTGGCACCAGAGCACACGGCAAACTTAATTGTGAAAATAATGATGACTTTTTTCAGTCATTCAGCTAAACCCTGGGTTTCTCTGATCTAATAATCTTCAGGGGGCAGATGCCAGCATGTGTGACCAAGGACTCCAGTCACGTGTGTAGACCGAAACCATAACTCACTTTTTTAGCATCTTGTCGATGATTTTCTTAACCATGGGGGCTGTGGGGTCGAGACAGGCTTCCTGCCCATTCTTGAGAGTGGCTCTGCAGAGAGAAGGGAGGGTCCCAGTGAGGCAGGAGGTCGGGCAGGGGATCGGGGTCGGGGACAGCAGGAGGGTCAGGGCGACTTGACTCTGGCGGGAGCAGCAGCACCTCGGGGCGGGACTCACATGACTTCGGTCTGGTCGCAGTGGGGTCCCGGGGACGTCACCTTCACACTTTGGATGTTCTTGAGGTGGACGCCCTGCAGGGCCTGGAAGCACTGGCAGCGCAGTTCACCGAGCACGGGCGCCGCTGTCGGGAGAAGAGACTCGGTTAGCGGGACTGTCCCTAGAGGGGCGCCCCCCAGAGCCCTGCCCCGCCGCTGGGATCCCAGGACGCCGGGTCCCACCTGTGGAGGGGCGGCCGGCGGCGACCAGGAGCAGGAGCAGCAGCGCCGCCCGGAGGAGCCGGGGAGCGCAGGAGGCAGCGGGGGTGGCGGCGCGGGCCATGGGGCTGGGCACGAGGTCGGGCGGCGGAGCCTGCAGGGAGAGCTGGCGGGGAGGTGGCTGCGGTGCGGGCGCTGTGGCTCCCCCACGTCGGCGAGCCCCTTTTATGCACGGTTAGGGCGGGAAAGGCCGGAGCCCCCGGGCCAGGGAAATTCCCGCAGCTCCAGGTCGTTCTCTGAGTCAGGAACGAGGGCGCCGGCCCCGCCCCTGGGTTCCGACCCGCCTCGCCTCCTGCGTTAAGTCCCGGGACACTGCGACTCGGGGACATTCGCTTTCTGTCCCAGACCCCTAGAGGTGGAGTGAGTCGCCGGCCGCGCTGTAGTTACCGCGTGCGAAGGGGCACAGAGGCGCCGAGTGACCCCCCCACACCCCTCCCCAGTGTAGGAGGCGGTGTCGCTGGTGGAGATTCAAGCATCGTGAGGAACGTTAGATATCAGGATTGGAGGACCTAAGGTGGCGGAGGCGAGGGCGGGGTAGACCTGCTTTTCCATTTGTTATATACGAATAAACGTCTTTTTATTGAAAATTTTAATTATGTTTGCATAAATGCATTGTGTTGAAATACTTCTGTCATCTGAGATTACGCATAAGAACGTTTGTCTTGTTCCTAGTATTTAACAAACACAAATAAATCACCCTTTGTGTCATATCTTCACACAGCGGTCACGGATGACCAGTGTCAAAAGTTTAATTCAGTATGTAATTTGGAACAAAGTGTTGTAATCCTTCATAGCTTCCTTCCTCCGTGAAATTCTGGAACTTCCAAAGTAAATTCACGAGTACCACATCTTTGGTTTATGAAGGTGTTGATTAATTGGTAGAAGAAGGACCTCCGGTTGTCCTGGAGCTGCTGGGGGGCGCGGGGAGTGCTGCATTGGGCTCACAGGGTCCACAGAGCTGACGCCTAGCGTGAGTGCAACCTTCGCACGTCTAAGTAGCAAAAAGACGTGGTCCTGTGAGCTATGTAAGTGGTAGATCACAAATCTTATCCCACTTCCTTGTTCTGTGGGCACAAATCTCATTTCATTTCCGTGTTATATGGACTTTCCTGCCTCCAGTGATTTGTTTTTACCTCTATAGAAATAATCGCTGTTATAGTGTGCTTTTACTGATTTCTAAGAAGGCATTCCAAGCTATTAACCTGAGCCTTTGTCATCAAGTAGCTCATTTTTCACCCTCAGTTTTAAAGTCTCTTGCCAGATTACCGGCAGGTTTCAGACGGTTTATTTAATTTTAAATTTTTATTTTTCATAAATGACGGCTTTTATTTTGCTTATTTAATTTTTGCGACTGGTCAGGAGGTTTAGGTGTGTTTCTGGTGGCAGAACTGTGAGAGGTATGGGCACAGCTTGTGGGAAGGTGGGGGGAGGGCAGCAGGAGGAGGGGGCGGATGCTGCAGGGGGGCAGAGCTGTACCTGCACCCGAGGGCCAGGGCAGGAACCGCCACTCCACCAACTACCGGTACATGACATCGAACCTGTCAGTGCCTTTGTAAAATGGAGATACGAGGGCACTTCAAAAAGTTCACGGAGGGCTGGCCTCATTAACGCCAAGGTCACGGGCTCAGATCGCCAACTGACCCCCTTCTCCCCCCAAAAAAGTGCACGGAAAGATTACTACCCTTTAATTCTCTTTTTCAACAATTTTTTTGAAATTCCCTTGTAAATGCTGATATCTATCTCAAAGAATTATTATGATGAATGAATGTGTTAACATTTGCAAAACACCAGTATGCATCAAATACTATAAATACTTTTTTTTTTTTTTGTCTTTTTCCGTGTCCGGCAACGGATCGCAACCCTCAGTGTTGCCCCCGTACCGGACCGGGGACCGGCAACGGGATTGCAACCCTCGGTGTTGCTCCCGCGCCTCGCTCAGCCAGTGAGCGGGAACCGGTCTGTATGTGGTATCCGAACCCTCGGGCGGGAGCGCCGCCGCACTTCCCAAGCGGCGCACTATCCATTGCGCCACCCGGCCGGCCCTATAAATATTTTTTATAAATTCAATAGAAATTGCTTCTTTCACAGTACATAAGCCGAAATTCACCTGGGTATAAAATCCTTGTACACAAAGAAAAGAATATTTTCAAAACAAAACAAACCCGAAATCCTCCAATATAAAATTTTTGTATTAATTTTTTTCTTAAGAAAAAACAATAACTTTTTCATTGTCTAGTTTAATTTTGGTGTCATTTTCTAATTATAGCTTTAGAAATTTCAACTAAAAGACGTGAGTATAAATAAAGCCCCATTCTGCTTATTAGAAAAGATTTATAAATGACTACGTTTCTGTCTTTATGTTTTATGTTTTTTCTTATTGATCATCACTACGATCCTGTTACGGGAAAAACGGATTTTACAGGAAAATTAAATTTTAAAAAAGGAATACAAAATGAAAGATGACCTAAAGTCTATAATATATATGGCTAACTCGAAAACAATTGAGAATTTGCATCCATCCTACTATTGTTATTCCTATTTTAGGGATTCTTAGTTGGAAAGAATGTCTTCTTGAAATAATCAGTGGCTCAGAAACATATCTATTATTTAAAGTTAAAAACATGATTTCACTTTTCTGATTATAGATGTATACCTGAATATCTGCTTATTGTAGATAAATTATAAAGAGAAGAAAAGATAAGATTGTTCATTAAGCTCTTTTAACTTTAGTCTGAAAAACAAACTTTAGCAGATCTTTGCTAAAAGTTTTCTTTTTTTTAACATGCATAGTAACTGACACATTTTATGTGTTTATTAGATGCTGACTAAACATAAAATGTTATAACAAATAACTCTTTGATGTAACAGGCAATGTTCCAACTCTTTAATGTATACATAAAACCCAGTTAATCTTCTCAACTGCCCCATGGAATACTTAACCAGGTTTTTGCTGGGCAGGGAATGCCTATGACTTACATAATATGCGAGTTGCTCACAAAATGAAATACAAGTGAAGGTTTTTATCTCCTTCTTTAGTATATCAGTTTTCATAATTCAATACATAACAGCCCTGCATTTATTTTTCAAAAAATTAAGAAAGCAGTGGTGCTCTTCTGAAATAATCCAGTTCTTTCTTGTTTTAATGAGTGTCTTCTTCAACCAATGACAGGTTTACATGCTCAAACTTTAAACTCATGCAAACACCAATCTTAAAGGAATAGAGCCATAACTAAAATTAACGAATTGGTTTCTAAATTCCCCTTTAAGCTAACGTTTTTATTGTGTCTTGCAGATTTGATTGGCACTATCAAATATGCCTTAAAATTCAGAGTTGCTGCTGTATCCTAAGCACTGATGGAGCAGCAGGAACGGGCAGGTGGTGCGGTGCTGCTCTACCCACGCTTCCTTTGGGGAATTGTACCTTTACAACTGCCAACTCCATTTTGGTGCAATTACTGCTTCCAGTATAATGTCTCTGACTTTGAAAGGAGAATAATGATCTAAGAATGTAGCATTGAATTCCTAGACCCATCTACTTCATCAGTCAAGATCGTTTCAAGTGTCAATGTCATCCACCCAGTTCAGTCTCTAGTACATTTGTCTTTTCTACCTGGTTTGTACTCCTTCTCCCTTTTTCTGATAACATAACCCTGGTTTTCCTTTGCAAACCATCTCTCCTTCCTCCCAGCCTGGGTGGTTCAGGTAGGGTGACTTCACCCAAACTTCCAGGAGTGAGCTGATGACCCAAAGTAG